TAGTATGAGTGGTCAACAAAAAAAAGAGGACAAGACAGGGAGGGATGCGACACCACCAACTCCACTGCACTTGGTGTGTGGTGAGAAGCGAACCAATAGCGCCATGGTGCCAAGCAAGCTTAATCGCCATCTCCAAACAAAACACCCTTCCATTCAAAACAAGCCGATGGACTATTCTGTACGCTTACATAAAAACTGTGAGAACTAGGCAACTTTTTTGAGAAAAACCACAAAGGTAAACGAGAGAGCCTTTAAAGCTTGCTAACTTGTTGCTGAACTCGTAGCTAGATCAAAAAACTCACCCACTGTGGCAGAAACATCTGCCAGCTTTTAAAGCCATTGTAAATGACAAGCTTGGCCCTGATGCGACTAAAGAAATAGCTAGCTGCCTGTGTTGGATAATGTTGTGCACATAGTGATGGAGACCTTTGAGATGTTACTTATTATTATTATTATTATTTGGGTCTTGTGTAAAGAACTGAGAGTGAAACATTAAATGTTATTGTTCCACATAGAGGTCCAGTGGCTATCGCGCAGCAAAGTGCTAGCCCGTCTGTACGAATTGCAAGAGGAACTTAACTGACAAACGAAAGGTCCGATTACTCTAAGCCGCTTGCAAGTGATGAGTGGTGTGCAAAGCTGGCATACCTGGCTGATATGCGTCATTATCTGAAAGAACTGAACACACAAATGAAAGGCCGAAATTAAAACCTGCTTAGAAACACTAATTTATTTAATTAATTTATTTTTTTATTTGATAGGGACAGTGTACATTAAAAAGCATTCCTGCAAATGCACCAGAATTAGCCAAAAGGCTATTTTTCATCTGTTGTCCCTGGACAGATCTTAAAATTGTCTACCTAAAAAAAACACAACAGTAAGCATGCTACAATGAAAAATACAAATATAAAAACAAATAAAAACAACTATAACTCCTCAAAACTGGTTTAAAAATACAGAATAAGTGTTCGCTGGACTACAGAGGTTCATAAAATAGAATAAAACATTAAAACTATGTGCATATAAATATATATACATATACATACATACATACATACATACATACATACATACACATTTATAAACATTAATACATACACACAGCAGAGACACAAGTGGCAGCATGGCTTCTTAATGATAAACAACTCATGTTCAACTAATGTTGACATGACTGATGTGTTAAAAGCCAATTTTTTAGATACGTTTTGAAAATAGTGTATGTCGTAAGTCCTCTAATAAATGAACAGGTTCCGCACAGCTCAAATAAGGTTTAAAATCACTGCTATTTCACGACTTTGTCAACATTATTTTCTCCATCTTCCCTTTTGAATACAAAAAACTTGTCTCTGCTGAACTCAGTCTCCCAACACCACAGCAACATCTAGTCCCAACATCTAGTCCCTTACTGGTTTTTGAGATGTGGATATTTACAAAAAGTCAGATTTTTCAACTCCTGCAAATTTCCCTTTGTGCACCTCATTGGTTCATCGTTGCTCTCGGTTCGCTGTATTCACTAGAAACGTGCCTATTGCCTTGCTAATTGCAACCTTTCACTTTACATTATGTGGACTCAGAACAATGCAGACAGGCTTAAAAACACTTGGAATCAAAAAAGAGAAACTGATCATTTTATCATTTGATCATTTCTTTAAGATGCAAAAGTTTTGCTAAGTTTATTTTTACAGTACTGAAGTAGAAGATGTCTATCTAAATCTCCTACTTCCAGCTGCTGGAGTGACCCCCTCTTGCATATTTTTTTACTCTGACTCCACCCTTTCACTGAATTACAGGGTCTGACCAGGAGATTATGCTTCTCTTTAGACCTTAATGTCCACAAACCATGACAGAAATAATATTTTAGTACAGAGATTGATGTTTAAAAATGAAATGTAAGGGATCAGCCAAGGGCCCATCAAGGAATGTGGGGAAATCTTGAATGGTTACTACTGTATGTACCTTGGTTCAACCATCGTAGCACCTGGTTGGGAAGAAGAGAGGTTAGGGATGGTGAGATGCACCTAAACGAGTTTCTTGGATGAATGGAACAGTGAAATGTACTGTTACGGGTTAGTAGTTAAACCTTCTGTAAAGTGTGTTTTGTAGGTGGTGGCACTAACAGAAAGAAGGGAGGGAGAGGGGGAGGAAGCAAATATGTTAAGATATCTGTTGATAAACTAAAATGGATGTCCAACATTAATCAGGTTTCGAGAAAAAGATGGTAGAATTGAAATCTTTGTTATGCATTTTCTGTAACAGGAAAAGAGCTTTCTCTTATTATAATCCATTATGCCTGTAGTATAGAAAGCTTCCCCAGCCGCATGAATGCAAAATATTACGAATTAATAAGATTTAAACTAAATGGTATAATATATTCCCTATATTAGTTTTTGACACTCTTGCATTAGCTTCATTTTTCAGCCTCTCAGACTGTTAAACCCAACAGTTTTTCCATTTCATTGACTTTCCTCTCCTCCTGTCTCTGTCTGTACACATTTCCTCTCCTCACCTTCTTATAACACCTTATTTCATTAAGGTGTGGACCAGCTTTCCTCCTTATCAACAGCCACAAATTACTTTATTTTTTTTTTCCTCAGTCCATTCTCAGGCAATCAGAGCAGCATGGGAGGTCTCTAAGCAAGCAGCACCGCCGGCTGCTTCATATCAATGCAGCCCGGCCACTTGGATGGAAAAAAAAAATGTCACTTTGATACCTCCCACTGGTCACTGTCAGGGTGGGGAGTCTAACCCGACTAATGAAGTAAAAAGGAAAAAGCTGTGAGGGGAAAATGGGCTCCAGTCAGAAGGTTTTGTTCATCAACCCTGGCTAAAGCTGCTCATTTGTTTGTTTTACTCACCACCTTCTGTTTCCATGGAGTGTCATGTGGTTATATTTCCATGTATGCATTTTCCCCCACTCATTGTCTTGTTAAAGACACAAGCCCACAGGTACATCCATACTTCATTATTCAACATACAGTGGACCTAAAATGTGAACACATCCTTTCTAAAAATGACACAACGTTTTGACAAATAAGACCAAAATAACTGTGAGACATATTTCGGCTCAAATGCAACTCTCAGCTATGTATGATGCCAATCAGGTGAAAAGCATACAAGTCTGTGAACAGAAAAAATGGAAAAAGCTGCAACAACCCTACTGTAAGTGTGCAGAGAGTTGCACACATGCTCAATTGGAGCACCTTTTTTATTCAATTTTTTTTTATTTTCTTCTATTTAGTCTTTTTGTGGGAGGCTATTGCCATTCTTTTGAAATATTTTCCAAATCTATCTGCAAAATTTGTTCAAAATTGTTTGATTTTTAAGGCCATGTCCTCTCCAAAGCCCTCTATAGGTGATCCCACAGATCGACTTCTGATTCTTTAATTTGGCTGTTGAATTTGTGCTTATCTTTGAACTCACTGCAGTACTGACAGTGAGGTGGATAGCTCAAGTGGTAAGTCACCTATCCTGCAAATAGGAGGCCTGGGTTTGTATCCCAGCTGGGGGGAATGAGCTGCCAGTGTGGCTCCTTGGGTAAGACCCTTCACGCTAATGCCTGCTTTGGGGAGTGGTTGTGAGTTCCAGTCCACTCCCACGGACTGCCACTCTGGGCAAGACCGTTAACCCCCACACTGCTACATAGGCGCCGCACAATGGCAGCCCACTGCTCCCTTAGCCTCGTGAGACCATCCTGATCTCGTGAGCTTTCAAGGTTTCACTCGCAGATCAGTCTGGAGACCCTCCGTTGAAGAAAATTTGGAGCCGTTCACCAAACGAACGTCCAATCAGCGTTGGCTTTGAGGCGGGTTGAGGTGTGACGCAACGAGAAGCGCGACAGTTCAGTCTAAAGAACATGGCGGCTTCAGCCGATGAAACTAGCGTTAGCGTGGCTATCGAGCAAGTTTTATCGGAATTACAGAGTATTTCTTCACTGAAAGAAGAGCAAAACACTGCTCTGGAGGCCTTTCTCAGAGGAAAAGATGTTTTTGCTCTTCTCCCGACTGGTTTCGGCAAGAGTTTGATCTATCAATTGGCTCCTCTTCGTCGTCGCTCTGTCACGTCATATGCTTCGTTGATCTGATTGGTTTATTTGGCCCGTCTATCACCAACATAGGCCAATTAGCTAACCAGTATTTTCACCCCTTCCCAAAATTACTTCTACGGAAGGTTTCCAGATGGATATGCGGAGCAAATCCATCTGGCGGAGTCAGGTTACTGCTCCCTAAGGGGATGGGTTAAATGCAGAGAGTTAATTCCATTGCTCACTATACTTGTGAAAGTGTAAATGCAATAAAACACTGGAAAAAAACCAAAAACCAAATAATGTATTCTTTTTTTTTTTCAATTTAACAGTGAACGACAGGTGTTTACCTGCTCCATGTGAAAACTATGGCTGAAAAACTAAAAAGAAAGTCAGAAATAAAGTCCTGCAAGGATATCTGATGTCCTGAAATCAAATCAGAAATTGCTTCTATATGTTCAACAATATGTTAGTATTTTTGCAACATCTCCAACCTTACAGTAGGATTTAGCTTTAACCCCCAGAACAGCTGTTTATACCTGTGTATAAAAAGGTGCTTCTGTTGAACTCTACACATTAAAGTCCCATTTAAGGCTTTTCATGTCTCAAAAAAGTGAAATACTACCAGAGATGTGTTCACGGTACAGATCCTTTGTATGTTGAAGATCCACTGCATGTAGAACTCTTCTAACATTTCATAATTTACATAATACTTTATGGTAACATTACACCTTTTGTTTGACGGAGATGATCTGAGATGATCTCAGTTCCTGGGAGATAAGACGATGCCCTGCAGTTTCTCCATCATGCTGGGCCTTCATCATATCTGCAACAGGCCTGTAAATCTCACACATTGTTCCACACAGTGAGCTGCTGGATGTTAATCAGTTGCAGATAGTATCACTTCACAGAGACTTTATGACTGTTATACTTCCCCTGTCCCACCCTGTGTTTGACATGCGTTTGTCCTCTCATCTAGATGCTCCCACCACCACCCCTAAACCCACCACAACTATCATCACTACCACCTCCACCACCATCTTCACCTCCACCCCGAACCCTGAAGCTAGTCAAGGTATAGTATCACCCTGTGCTTGAATGTTTCCTGCTTCTGTATATTCTTATTGTGGGACTCAGTCTTGGACTAGTAACCAGTATCGGGTTGAATGAATGTTCCACGTGAGGTACGATGAAGTATTTTTCTGTTTTTTTTTATTCAGTAAGGTTATACAAGGGTAAAAAAGGTAAGTGCAAAAATTTTACACCATACTGTAACGACTATTTAAAGGTTTAGTGGATGATTTATTTATTTATTTTTTTTTCTGGAAATGTTGGGAAGAAAAGCCAATGTTACTTCCTACTTCCTCTTCTAAGGGGAAATGCTTATCAAGTGTGCATGCATGAGCACCATTGCCCTAGTGCACGGCTTTGTTTACAATCTGTCTGCAACGCATACATTTAAAATATATGTAACCACGAATGGTTGAAACTAATTCTCACTGGCTGCAAAAACACTAGAACTATGCATGTCCAGCAAGAGAAAAGAACTAGCCAGAAACAAGCTTCTACAGTGGTGTTAGGTGAGCAAAACTTTAAGATAAGCCATCCAGAACTGAAAGCCTAAAAAAGGTAATCCTTTACACATTCAAAGGAGCAATGAGTAAGGAATTTGCTATAAACTAACCATAAACATTTTAATTTTTTATCAAGGGCAAAAGTAATATTTCCTATAAACTTTCAGTCCTCTCTATTAACAGAGTCTTTGTTCAGTTTTTCTCCTTTCAAACCTCATGGTACAGAACTATTCTGGTGGAGGTGAGGCCTATGTTTACTTCCTGGTTCCTGAGCTTTTCATGTAAGAATTTCCAGGGTTGCCAAAACAGAGCACAGCTTTTGATACAGTATGTTTGCTAAAGAGCAGCAGCCTGCAAACATGAAAGCCAATAAGAAAACCTGACCGGAAATAGTCTCATCAATGCCTAAGAAGCCTTGGGATCCTTCAAACCTATTTCCACAATAACTTTGTGTTGATGAATTGTCCTTAAGGTTGGTTTATGCTCGACACACAGATTATGTTAAGAAAATAAAATGTGTAGATGTGTCTGCAGCTTTTATGCTCCAGTGAACATGGTCCATCTGGAAGTTGGTCACCTTTATAAAATGGTGAAGCCAGCTGAAACCATCTTCAGGATACAAGGAAAATGAATCATGGTTTAATTCAGAATTTTTTCAAGTTGGGAATCCTGGCATGTTGTGTGTGCTGCCTGAGTGACTCTCCAGGCCCCTAAGGGGTGAATATGTCTGGTACTCTGTGTCTAGATTTGCTGCATCTGGGGTCGACTAAAATGACCCCAGCTGCAGCAAACTTCCAACATCTCCTTCAGAGTCTGTAATGAGTTGACTCAAGAATTTGGAGACCAGATCCTACATTTTGGAGAAACTGATTCTGTTCTATGTTCTGCATAAAAACTGCACACCTTATCACTGATCCTGCGGTGAATGAGTTACGATCAAATAAATCAATAAATTCCTGCATCTTTTCATTAAAGAGAGCAAAGTTGAAACTACTTAGATTAATCGACTGCAGAAAAACACATTTGGTCAGACACTACAACCTTCTGTCTCTCTATAACCATGGAGGTCAGAAGGTATGCATCCTCAGCTTTGTGGGTTTTTGATGCTATCATTTTTTTTTTTAACCAACATCTTGAAAGTGCATGTTCATGTCAACAGTGGGTGGTTAGGTTGCTTAAGGACCCAGATGCAGAGCCGAGAGAAGCAGAGATAGTTCTGACAGGTTTAATAGAAGAACAAGGAAACAGAGGTACGAATCCAGAAATCTAACTAAAAAGTTTAACAAACCAAAAACCATGGAGACATCAGGGGAAAAACAAGCCTGAGGAGCCACGGGGAGATGAGCCTGGTAGATGAGTACAGCATAGAGAAGGAACCAGCACTGAGTGACTGCAGAGGTGGAGTATTTAAGGAGAACAAAACAAAAGCATGGACTAACGAGCTGAATGAGGAGCAGGTGTGGGTGGAACTGGCAGGAGGGAATCCAAGGGGAAAGAAAACAATCACAAGGGGGCAACAGAGAGTAACTAAAGAACGCTAGAATATTATGGAAAATAAAAACAAAACAACTGATAACAGAAAACCGAAAACTGAGAAACATAACATTTCAGCTTTATACAGTTGTGCATGAAAGTTTACAAAGTACCATTAAAGAAAATGATGAATCCACACAAGTAATTCAAATACTACAAAATTGGAAAAAGCATTATGATACCAAAGCTAAGTTTAATTTACAGAGTCATTCAAAGAAACATAAAAATATATATATATTTTAGATAAAAGAATTGAAAACATTGTTCAATTTCAATCAGTTTGTATTAGCATCTTAATATTATGATTACTATTTATTTGTGTAAAGCATATTGCTGCTGTATAGGTCTTTAAAGTACTTTATAGATAAAGCTAATATGGTATAAATTTTAGTGCATAATGTAAAACAAATACCCCAATCTGCTGTGAGAACTGATCAAATGATTATCGTAAAACATACCTCTGCAAGTATTATCCACCATGTTTGCTGCTAAGTTTGGTGGTGAATAATATGTGTATTGATGTGGCTGCATTTGGGGTCTTTGACTGTTATGCATTGAAGGTGCTCTCAAGTGAAACTGAGCCCCAAACTGTTGATTAATCTTCTTAGAACTCAGAGATTTTAAAAAACTATATGGTTATATATTTATAGAGAGTTGTTACATCAGGAACACTTTTTGAGAAATAAACTGTCTAACCCCATCTGTCTAATTATGTGATGGTAATGCACTCACCACAGTCCCTCATGTTAAACTACAGAATCCCAATGGAGCCTTTATTCTGATCTCATTTAGAAACAATCAGGTTTGTTTAAATTTATTTATTTAATGTTAAAGTCAGGCCTATCAGGCACAACTTTGTCATCACATAAGACTTTATTCCTTACTGTATACAGGGTATAGAAATGATATTTGCCATGAATGATGGGCAGCTAACAGAATTTGCTGGAGCTGGGACATCATTCACTAGAAATAACTAGAAATTAGGAATTTTAGATTTTGTAAATGCGTCTCTGGAAGGATGTGAGTAGAATAGAAATCAGGGGACAAATTGGAGTCCGAGACTTTTGTAATGTTCCCCTTTTTATCAGAGCAAGCAGCTACTATTAGAGAAATGTCTCATAATAGTGAGGTTCAATTATGATTCAAAAAGCTTTTTGTCAGGCAACCAGCACTGTTATTCAAAGATACCTCGTCGACTAGGTTAACTGCTTTAAATGCTTTTTAACATCTACTTTGTACAGGAAAGTAGAAATGATTCATATTAGTTTTAAGAGTTTGATCATTATTAACATCTGCCCATTGCTGTCTTTCCCATTTTATTTAATTCTTTAGCTTGTTCCATTTTAGATGTATATTTTGGATTTAAATGTGCTGGAGCACCAAATGGTGTCCAAATTGAAGAAATTGAAGGTAGGGCTTAAACAATCGGATTAATCTGGATTAATTGATTATTAAAAGTAATCCTAATATTAATTGTAGTAGATTAATCGTTAACTGGATTATAGAGACTGTAAAATATGCATTTAGGTGATATATCCACCAATTCTTGAGCAGCAATTAGACCAAAATAGTGAAAAAAAATATCTAAATGCTTTTTATTTAAGATGAAAAGAAAAGCTTTCTTCTTCTGTCGACATGTCCTATCCAGAACAGGAAAAGTTTTAGTTTCACCTGGTTTAATTTCGTAAAAATTCTGCTAATAAATTATTAATTGAAAAACAATCAAAGAAATGATCAACAGATTAATCAATTCAAAGAAGAATCATTAGTTGCAGACCTATTTGAAGGTTAAAAGAAAAGCTGACCATTACCATGATACTACCTCCGCCTTGCTTAGATTTAAATACCTTATCTAGACTCCCTCAGGTAAACATATTGTTGGTTTGACCAAGCAGCCCATCCTTTACCTAGTTGAGTTTTCTGCAGCAGGTATTGACTCACTAACATGAGCAGATCCAGATTACTGTCTGGCCTGCAGGTGTCTGTTTGCTGGACAAAATTATGCAACCGCTTTTGGCATTTTCTTAATTATATTTAGTTACTTTAAAATAATAGTTTTATGTACTTCCCTACTAACATGTAACGATTGTGTTAAAGTAATTAAATATGATTAAGTAAATGCCAAAAGCAGTTTAATTACTTTTTTCAGTGTTTCAGTGTTTTATAAAGGCGCGTAACAGTCCTGTGCTCGTGCCACAGGAGAACTATGGAGAGCGTGAACGATCAAATGATAGCCTATATGGAGAAAGGGAGAAGGATGGATGGATGGATGGATGGATGGATGGATGGATGGATGGATGGATGGATGGATAGATGGATAGATGGATAGATAGATAGATAGATAGATAGATAGATAGATAGATAGATAGATAGATAGATAGATAGATAGATAGATAGAGTTGCAGTATCTTTAACAACCCAAACACAGGATTTCAGAATTAGACATACCCAGTTATTAATTTCATACACTCGCAAAAGTAACCCAATAGTTACTTTTACTAGTAACTAGTTACTTTTATTGTGGAGTAACTCAGTTACTAACTCAGTTACTTTTTGGGGGAGGTTACTAGTAACTATAACAAATTACTTTTTCAAAGTAAGTTCTAGTGCCCAACACTGAGGAAGTGTACAATAATATTAGCAAGGACTATGTTTAAATTAGGTATGTTTAACTTTCGACTGAGTAAAATGACAAGCTGAAACTAGAAAACAAAATAAAAAAAATTTTTTAAATAAATAATTAATAGACCCAATTAACATGATAATAATGCCCACAAGTAGAAAATCTAACCTCCTTTCTGGAACAGCATGTGTCATTCAAGAGGGAAATCATAGATCATGCTTCATCTTTCATGATTTGAAAAACATGGGAGCAGTGCCCACGGAAACAAATAAACACAGGCGATCAAAATGTAGGCCTCTTTGAAAACAGGACATTTTTATCTGGGTCTTCCAGAACCAGGGAACA